TCACCATCTACTAGAATTTAATTGGACAAAATACAGGATGCTTCAAGATTCAGAATTTTGATCACCCTGTATCTGTTCCAATTAAATGTCAGTAGATAGTGAATCATGTTCAGTAAATCATTGCAATATCGCTGAAGAACCTATTCCTAATTATCCCATTTTCACTATGCTATTCTCGTTCTATGATCAATTACCTTCTTATCTGATGCAGCTCTGTATATCTTGCAAGCAATATCCTATATATATTCTCAGTATTCTCAGATATTCTTATGATTTTCCATTGCAAACTTCAATCAAAGCGACAATGATAGGAAATTTCATAGGGAATTGAAAAAAATTATGAAAAACAGTACAGCAACTCTCAATTACACGTCACCAATCAAACTGCGTGACGCGAAAAGCAGAAATGCTGCATTGGGACCTCACCTCTAGCATTGAAAAAAACGCGGCCTAGAGGTTCGCGCGCACAAAAAATTGCCGCGGTCTCAGTTGGAAAATTCTTTCTCTACAAGCGTGCATGATTCACCCTATACCCGCACGCAATGTAGTTTGGGAAGTTTAATTTTCCCGCAACATTGCGGGAAAAATTTTTTCACACTAAGACGGGATTTTTTTTCCGCACGCGGGCAAAACGAAGATATGATAAGATGGCAAAGTATTAGTGGTATATAGGTGATGGAATATGAGAGTTTGAGTTTGTTTGTTGCAGTATTGAGTATGTATGTTCAGAATCATCCATCAAATTGCACTATTTATTGTGAAAATTAAGGAATATTGAAAAATAAAAATTGATTATTATGAAAATCCCCCTATAGATTTGGATGAATCTGATGGCAAACGATTATTGTTGTCATGCCAATCAAAACCTCAAATGAGTTTGTTATTGTCGAAGTGACAGGCACAGCATTAATGTCATTTTCGATACATTGGAATTGCCACAATGTGATCAAAAACTTTCAGCTATAGGGATGCGATACAGATGCGTTATTGCCAACGAAGTCTTAAGAAAAGTATGAGAAGCTATACACGCGTTTTATTGAATGTTGCAACAATAAAGAAATGAAAATACCGAATAAAGGAGAAGTATTTTTGGCTCATTTCCTATAGAAGTGTCTGAAACCTAGAGACCAAACACCTTATGGACCTGCGGGCTTCCGCAATGAACCTATACATAAAGCTCCAAACTGTAAGTTCACAATAGCTATCACTAATAATCAGTAGATAGACAATATATTTCTCTTGTTAGTTGTTCCTATATTAATGAATGATTAATGGAACAAATCAATCAATTTCCTACGCTTGTTGAAAAAATATTGTTCCAAACTCATGCGGAAAGTGTCTTTCCCGCACTCGACTGCTTGTCCGAACTCCGCTTCGCGTCGTTCGTGTCAACATCAGTCGCGTGAGGGAAATAATCACTTTCCGCACTTGTCAGGAAAATTACTATGTCAGTCGAAATCGACTCGATGTGGCAGTCAGAGTGTCATATAATAGACAACGACTGGTACCTATCGAAAATGTCACCTCATATATCCCAAATATTCATCATGTAGTACCTCAGGGTTCTGTTCTTCGGCCGTGGCTGTTTTTGCTCTATATTAATGATATGACTGAATGGAATATATCCGGGGAAATATCTCTCTTTTGTAGATGACACTATCATATTATGGACTGATAGATCTCCCAACTAGCATTTTCAGTCACAGGCACCATGGTTCAAGAAACTATTACCTATATTTAGTGATAATAACGTATTTATCACTTATTTCAGAACTTCATAGTATAAATGTCAGTGATAGTTATTTAGTGAGTGAAAATTACGTAGTTTTTACACTAGATAATAACTTCAAAGTGAGAAATTCTCATGGCTTATTACGAAGTAACTATTTCGAAACTGTCACTCCTCAAAACTACTCTTAAGGTTTCGGAACTTTGGATATATTATTACGGTAACGCTTACCACCCCAAGAAGGCTTCACAGTTGCAATTACTCTATGGTCACCAATTAGGTTTCTACGACGTTGTCGTTACTTGATCGATCACCTAATAATTTAGTCAATTCTTGGTGATATTTCAAGTAACATATTGGTAATTCCTACTCAAACAATTCCTTCATAGTTGAAACAACTTTTCGGTAATTATATTCAGTTGAAGTTACCAATACATAGGTTATCATAACTGACGAGTTCCAAAAGTAACTTTCTGATTCATTTTCGATTGGAAGCCATATTGATTGATGTGATAACCATTTGAACAGGAAATAATTTTGGTTTTTCTTGTTGATAAACATCATTTTATGAAGAATAATAGCATTCGTTCGATCACAAATTGCATAATAATGGAAATTAACATGATTTACGATGATTTTTGAAAAATAGCCGAATGAAATAAAACCATATTTTTGGTGAAATGAGCCGTATTTTGTGGGCGCATCTTGAATTTCGAGGCAAAATCATCACATTTATCGAAAAACTGAATGTTGTTCGAATTTTTCAAGTTCGAGTATCAATTATTTCGCGTGTTTGTCCTTGTATTATTTATTGAATGGTTAGGCATATTGGACTTGTTCATTTTTCGTGAATGTGAACTTCATGGATGAAATGAAGAATAATAAAGAGAGAAAATAATATTTTTATGAAGTGGAAAAGAAATAGAAAGTCAGGTAGGAAAATGTACTACATCTTTACGTAATTTCGACGTCGACGGGTCGTAAGCATTACGTAATTGTGTGAGTTCCCGCTACGTCGGCAAACCGTAATAATTACTCGTGATTTGTTCCCCATTTTGGTCGTAAATACGTAGTAACGACGTAATTATAACGTAACCGCAACTAGTAAATATTACTTAATAGTCGACCCAATAGGTCGTAATTACGTAATCGCGACTATAAATGCTAGTTGGGCTAGGGGGGCCCTACAGATTAAAATAACCAAAAACGTCGAAACTATCCATCAATAAAGCAAATCGAACCTAGTTTCGCTCAACACTAAAAAAACTAACCTTACATTCCGATTTGAATTGCTTCTTATATCCCTGGATCATCGGAAAATCGAAAATTTGTTGAGAACAAGGTTTATTGGTCAATTTGTGGACAAAAAATTGGAATTTTGATCTGCATGCTTCATACTTATGCAATAAACTTGCATCAGAATGCTATGCTATCAGATTGATATTGAACGAGTTGGATTATACGGCCTATTATGCTCTGATGGAATTGCATTTTGGGGAAATTGTAATAATAATATTTTAGAGTCTACTTTTATTATACAGAAAAGGGCCTTACGGTATATATACAAATATGCAAATATGCAAAGTTGATCCAAGAAAATCTCGTAAAGAGTTATTCAGGGAGCACAGATTGTCAAAAGTTGAGTACCCTTGTTCTTTACATAGATTCGGTGTCTTTGATTCATTAAACCAGAAATAATTACGCATTAGTGAACTCCTGTTACAACACCCGCCTGTCAGACATGGGGAAACTTCCCCGGACCTGCAGTTCATTGAAATGTACAACCATCCCCCAAATTATATATTGTAAAATCTACCTTTGATATCAAGAACAAATCACAATTCTTCATTCCTTCAACCAAAAACAAGCCCACGGGTACGCCTATTTAATATTTTGAACTGATGTTTCATATTCAGAAATTATGACAATTCTCGAGAATACAGTTGTAGAATAATCTTTCAGTATTTTATCAATGAATGTTCATACTTGATTCACTCATTTTTTTACCAGTTTTTTATTCACATAAGTGCTTATCAACTATTTTCTCTAAATCAAGAAATATCGTGTATTTATTGTGTATACAGTGTGTCCCACTTACCATGCTCACCATGGGTATCTTTTTAACGGTGAGAGATACGAGGTCGGTTAAATGACACCAAATGTGGAGTTTGTCAAGGCCAACTATATAATGTGAAAGAATATTTTGATGAAATCTATTCGTTTTTGTTTTATACGCAAAAATCAGATTTTGATTATTTTCATGTCTCCTCCGTAACTTCTTCATTTATGAAAATTTCACATTCTCTTTTTCAAAGTGATTTCGCAAAAAAATATGAAATTTTTACCAACTCTTCTAGAATTTGAGATATCAGCACCAACTTTAGTTTTTCAAATGTAGGTCATAGCTCACTATGACTTAGTTATAAATAACTATTTTTTCTCCTACAGATGATATGTCGCAGTAATAGTTTTGTGTTGATAACAACGGAGTTATCGTCATTTATACAAAAACAAAAAATTATTCAGAAGCCGCCATCTTGAATTTATAAATTTTAACAAAAAATCATTATCTCCGACCTCAAGAACCCCCACTTATCAATTTTGAATGGAATCGGACCAAATCTTGTCCGCCATCTTGGAGCAGCCATTTTTTTCAATTTCATCAAAAATTCCATAATGTATTGTCACCGATAGCGGACAAGATTGGGTCCGATTCCATTCAAAATTGGTAAATGGGGGTTTTTGAGGTCGGAGATCATGATTTTTTTTGTTAAAATTCATAAATTCAAGATGGCGGCTTCCAAATATTTTTTTGTTTTTGTATAGGAAATGACGATAACTCCGTTGTTATCAATACAAAACTATTACTGCGACATATCATCTGTAAGGGAAAAACTAAAGTTGGTGCTGATATCTCAAATTCTAGAAGAGTTGGTATGAATTTTATATTTTTTTCGAAATCACTTCGAAAAACTGCCATGAGAATGTGAAATTCCTATTTGAATATTTTCATTAATAAAGAAGTTACGAAGGAGACATGAAAATGATCAAAATCTATTTTTTGCGTATAAAACAAAAACGAACAGATTTTATCAAAACATTTTTTCACATTATAGTTGGCCTTGACAAACTCCACATTTGGTGTCATTTAACCGACCTCGTATCTCTCACCGTTAAAAAGATGCCCATATGGTGAGCATGGTAAGTGGGACACACTGTATATCTAGCTGCTATAGTGCACAAACACTAGGTACATGGTAAATGATTTCAAGGTATTCTATATCAATACCAGAATTAGTTAATCTCTACGTGCTTCTCCTAGAACTTCTTTCTCCTTCCACTCATATTGATGAAAAGAGTGAACAAGGTGTAACCAGTTCTCCATATCTACAACAAAAAACATGTATTTTTTTTTAATCCAACATGCACCTTTTTTTGAATCGAAACAATTATTTTTATTATATTCAATATGATATAAGTAATTGGACAAGTCAAGGTTCATCAAAATTAGATTTGGTATAGGTGGATGGTATTTAAAGAATATCCGCATAATCTCCACTTCTCTGTCAATTCAGATTTCACCGGAAATTTATCCGATTAAGAGTCACCTCTGAATTTGTAGAAAGTTGAGGAACTTTTTACTTTTTGCTCATGGAGCTTATATTTCACGGTCACTGCCTAATTGCATTTTTTTTTAAATATTGAGAATAACAACCAAATATCCCAGACAGCACCAGATATTCCATGAATCTCCCTATCATATTCCTTTTGGAATATTGGAATATTCTAGAAATAATCTGGAATATTCCGGAATATCTGTGGAATATTCTCTAAATATGCGAATGGGAATTCCTCAGATAATCATAGAATATACCCAAAAGAATATTCTATGTTGAATGTTCCTGGAATATTCCAATAAACATATTCTGAAATAAAAAAAAGTGACCCAAGTAGGGATCGAACTCGTGACCTCAAGAATATCAGAGCAACGCCTTGACCACTAGGCCAGTAATCGAATTGAATAATGTTATACATATTAAGTTCTTGTGAGAGCATTGTTCGAAATCGGATCATAAACACTTTTTGTTTCAAAATCCTCTTACATCTAATTGATGTTCGATACTCACATCTCTGGAATAATAAATGGTATTCATGTGTTGAGAAACATAGGAATATTCATGGAATATTTCATGAATATACTCCACAGAATATTCAGTTGAGAATATTTCATGAATATACCGCACAGAATATTCAGTTGGGTATATTTCATGAATATACCGCACAGAATATTCAGTTGGGTATATTTCATGAATATACAACAGAGAATATTCAGTTGGGAATATTCCTGGAAGATTCATACCTGAATATTCCCTGAACATGTCCGACTATTCACTTTGGAATATTCCTTTTAGATGTTTCAGAGGCATGTATATATTCTAGGAATAATCGATGAATATTCGGAATATACTCCTCCTTTTTAGCATATTTAGAGAATATTCTATGAATATCCAGTGCTGCCTGGGATCATGCACCATGGCCATAGTGAAAGGAGAAGGTGGTGTGCTCAACAGAAATTTTAATCTCGTCTTGTTCTGCGCATGACGTCGACTGGGATATAACTGTCATTTTCATTATTTGTTTTCCTGATCGATGTTTCTATTTGAATATGTTGAAAATTAAATGAAATGGTTTCAAAATGCCCACTTGTGTCGTTTCTGGCTATGTAAATTCCAACAAATATACGAACGGCAGAGATATTGAGTATTTCTGTTTTTCCAAGGATGGAGACCTAATGAAAAGATTAGTGGAAGCTTGCTATCGAATGAAAATGGACTAATTCGAATAACGGTACTTATTCCTAAGTATATTTACCTATCATATCATATTCGAACACGGATCTGTTCGCAATATTTCCATGCAAAACTTTTTCGTTTGAGTTTGAAAGCAAAGTTGTGTAACTCCACGCACCTCCAAAAAACCACAGATATACGAGTATTTGAAACAAGAAGCCATTCCTACCAGAACATATTCCGTCGAATATCAAGTTGGAAATAAATAAAAATCAATTCAAAAGAGCTAATTTCTCAGATATCATAAATTGCAGCAAAGATTTGATTAACAAATCGGCAAAAAACTATACTCCTCTGTTGTTGTCGAAGTCGAAGCAGAAGCATTATCAAATATCAACTTCCTAATTTGAATCTATCAGAATAGGTATCTATTCATATGAATTGAATTATTTCTAGACAGATCGAGAAACTCATTGATATTTCAATAAACTCAATTAAATTCATAGCGCACGCCAATGGCAACTAGTAAGTGTCTTTGACTAGCAGCTATCATTGGTTTCCCAGATGACGTCACATGATATGCGCGTAGGCACACCATCTTCTTCTTGCCACTATTCATTTTTTTGATAATTGATTTATGTTCCTATTTTCAATTCTATCTCAAAGAAACTATGTAAGTATCGTATGATACGCCAGAAAAACTTCCTTTCGGGAAGTGCATGTCAAAAAATGGTCGCCATTTGAAAATTGATATTCATACACGGAAATGTAATAATTTTGTCAAATGGTCCAATTCCTATCATATTACTCACTCAAACTGCGCGATTGTAACTTGCTGACATCACCTGTGATAGATAGATAGATTTTCCCATCACTTTGGAAATAACTGATAACAATGCAATAGGCCTACAAATGCTGGCCAGGTTCTTTCGTTTTAAAAAACCGGTAGGACTAACTATTTTCCAGCAGAATGGAAAAACAACCGACTTGTAAGAGATGTTCAATTACTTGCATGATATCAGTATTAATTCTGGTGCACACTTATTCTTGAGAACAATTAGTGGAACCTAGAACCGTTAGCCTCATTAGTTTTGATACCAAGTAGAGTCAGTGCTGATTTCGAGTTATGAAACCAAATTGAGAAAAAAAATCACATGTCCTCTCTCTACTTCTACGTAACTTTCTGTTCTTCTTTCAAGGAAATTCAATCTGATTATTATAACATAGTTATACCATTCACATAGGTACTTAGATCAGTGGTGATACTCACAAACACAAATAGCGGGTAATCAACATCATAAACGCCTGATCTTGAGAATCTCACTGGTTTCATGTTGCTGATGAGGAACATGAGGTATGCTCGTCGATTTCTCGTATTCCAGTTGTACCATCCACACTTCAAAGCATTGTTGTAAACGTTTTCTGACTGAAAATGAACTGAATGAGATTCAAAAAATGGAGGAGACATACAGATTGACCGTGAGATTGAATCAGAGCCAACAAACAGGGTCTTAACCCAGCGAGCACAAAAATATTGCAGAGATGTTAAAAGTACGAGATGTCGAAACATTCACACATGAATAGACTTTCATAGAACAGACAATGTCTGCCGCAAGTAGTGTTTATCAAGATATCCTCAAGATATATTTATATAATAGAAGAAAGAAGGAAATTTGAAAAGAGATTGCCCCGTTGGGGAATCGAACCTACTCTCTTTTGATTTAATTATTACAATCCTTACATCTTGTCCACTGCGGCTGCGCTATGGAAGCCTTATTGTTGAATGATATGAATAGAAAGATGTCAACATATGCACTTCATTAGAGTAGATAATAATCAGCATTGAGGCTAGAGAATAATAGGATGAGTTAGGGGAAATATAAATATTGATACAAGAATAACATCCATATCATATTTTGATGAGATTCTCTATATTCCAGAATGTTCTGAGAATGTGTCAAATTGAATGTTTATGAAGTATTTGTTGCCAGGATGAAAATATCTCATAATCATTCTGAGAAAATTCAATCAGAGTATTCGAGAATGAATTAAAATCGTTCTGAACGTTGTCAGAATATTCGTAAAATATTCTGTGCTGTTTGGGATCATGGACGACACGTCTGCATGATCTTCTTCAATTAGATTGAATAATACAGCTTGGTATTTCATTGCTTCATCATCTGTTCTGAGAAAAATAGGAGGCCGTTAGTGATATTGTAATAATGAAATAAAAAGTCGCTTCAAACGCGAATGCGATCAAGAATAACAAAATCAAAAATAAATCAGAATTCATTGTGATGTGATGTAAGCATCAGACGTAGTGGTGGGGCAAAAAAAATGACATAGAAGAACAAAAGCAATACTTTCAATATCCTACAAAAACTTTTTCGGGAAGTGCATAATATTAGGTCTGAAAAAAACATCCTCATGCTAACATTTTTTTAAAATCCCAAAACATCCCAGGGATACTTCCTCGCCTTCAGTAGGCAAACAAAGAAATGCCACATAAGAACAAAAACAATACTTTCAATATCCATTAAAGATCTCTTTGAGAATGCCTATCACATTTAAAAAAAAAACATCCTGATGTCTAAATTTTCAAAACATCCCAGAACATCCCAGGAATACCCTTCAGTAGGCACAAAAAAATGCCACAGAAGAACAGACAAAACTCTTCAATAGCCCCCAAATACCTCTTTTTGGAATTGCATATATTACTTCTCAAAAAAACATCTTCATGTCAACATTTTCAAAACATCCCAAAACGTCCTAAGGATGTTTGTGCCCGCTGGGTTTCTGTAAACTTTCCATGAGTATAGAAGAAGAAGTAACAAAAATAAAATAAAAAATACATGTTTGTCTAAATAAAAATATTTTGAAATATATTGATCTTCGAAGTTTGCCTGAACATTTTTAAATCATAGATCAGGGGTTTAATTGATAGAATTGAATACAATAGAATTTATTCAAGATAGGATACATCCTAATATTCATCAGCAGTTTCAATAAAATAACAACACCAAGCATAACACTAACATTTTCTTCGACGTTCGATAATGGTTAAAATATGTAGTATGATGTTTGCGAATAGTCTTTAGAAATATTTCCAGAACAATTGTTTTTGTGGTTTACTGTATCTTGCTGTATCATGTGACTCACTTACTTATTGTCTCATTTTCAGAAACACCCTGTATGGACACTGAAAAACTCTGATAATTTAAATTCTATGAGAGCTGACGGTAGACAACGGTCATATTTGTGTAGTACTTGTATATAAAGAATGTCTCATAATTAGCTTGCAAAACAGCAACATTAGTTTGCTCGAACAAAAATGAGAATTCACCTTGCCTGCATTCAGAAATATCTACGGAATTCGAAATTTTTCCAGGAGTGTCTCATACAGGGTCGATTGGATGTACCTTTTTTCAGCCCTCACTTGCAAGCAATAATTTTCCCAATTTCCCTACAGTTTCTGTTTCTAATTGTTCGAAAGCTCGAAATCATTTTATATTTCACATATATTTCTCCTTTGGAATTTCAACATCATTGATCACGGCTGAAACTAGGACAAAACACATTCAAACCACTTTGTTCAATAAATGGTCCGGAACCTGTGAATACAGACCCAAGACCGTATTTGAGAGAGTTGAAAAACTATAAATAATTTTTGAAATCCTCGGAAGGCTGTTGGAATGACCCTCTCAATAGAGTACCGTTATCTGATAACGAAATGATATATGTCCCAAAGGAATGTAAAAATATTGCAGTTCATCGAACGGCACCAGTGCCAATCACTATCCTGAGCAAGATGATTCAAAAATAGCACTTTCTTGTGTGAACATTTGTACTCAATTTTGCGATTTGATAACGAGAAAAGAGTTATGCCCATCCGACACCAATTGAATTGTAGATCTCAAAAAACTAACTGTGCCATCACCCCTCAGTCTAGACCAAATCCACGGCACAGCGAATTATATTGAGTTTTACACTATTCCATCAGATATTATCTTTGGAGCAGGCGAAATATTCTCGGAAATATTGACACTCTGCCGCTTACTTAGATCAGTTTGAATCGCGGCACGTTTTTGACTCAGACTGAGAGGTGGCACAGGTAGGTTTTTGAAACCCAATCAGCCAAAGTACGTCTTAAAGGCGTCTTTAAGACGTACATGTCGGGACATAAGTACGTCTTAAAGACGTACATATCACGCCCAAGAGACGTCTTTTAGACGTCTTTAAAACGTACATTTTCCACTGATATGTACGTCTTTAAGACGTCTTTTTTAGGTGTTTTTGGTCCATGACCTCAAATTGATCTTTCAAATTACGGAAGAATCACATAGTTTCAGTTGATTTTCACCTGTGCACTGAAGTTAGCAACAAGTGCAGACAAGCAAAAAAAAGGGAAATAAACGACTTCATCAAACGGTAGACACAAGCGGTCACCCATTCAAGTACTAACCGCGCTCTTTGTTGCTTGCCTTCGATGATTATACCATATTCACTTCTTCTGTTACTCTGTTTGTTCTATATATCACATAACAAGCTTTTACTTAGTTTAACATGTCCTTGTGTCTGTTTGTAATCAAAACGTGCAAGTTAAATTTGACTCACTTTAAATCGTCCAATTGATTTGAAATTTGGCAAGTAAATATTATTCCGGTGACAATTCGTTGTGATATTATTATTGAATGAAAAAAACAGAATGGCGGATCCAATTTGGCGGACGATTTTCTCATTGATTATGTTCCGATTCGAATCAAAATTCAATATTCAAGATGGTGAATCCAATGTGGCATATGGTTTTCTGATTATGGTCTGATCTGATTCAAAATTGGCATCTGAAGGATTTCGGGACCAGAGATTATATTTCCTTTTGTCGAAAATGAAAAATCCAAGATGTCGGCTTCAAAATGGCGGACGAGTTTTGTGATTATAGTCCGATTTTATTCAAAATTGATTACTATGGGACTTTTGGGGTCGGAGAATATGATTTTTTTTGTAAAAATTCGAGAATCTAACACGAAGGCTCCAAAATGTCGGACGAAAAAATTCAAAAACATCACTTTTGTTGAAAATAAGAAAAAACTGAACAATTGAAAATGAAAAACCTGAAGAGATGACATTTTGTTTTTCTTCAGAAAATAACTTACATTATTGTTCTATAAGTCGAATTGACGTACTGGAATGTACGTCTTTAAGACGTCTTTTATACGACATGGGAGGAACGACGTGGATACGACCTAAAATGTACGTCTTAAAGACGTAAATTCGTGTACGTCTTTAAGATGTACATGGATTTACATCTTAAAGACGTACTTTATACGTCCCTGGACGTAAAGACGTAAGTAAGTGGTAAAATGTACGTCTTTAAGATGTCTGGTGCTGATTGGGAATCTACCATTCAATTGCTATCGGATGGCATAATTCTCACCTCGTTATCAAATCGCGAAATGGAATGCAAGTTACCGCACAGGAAAGTGCAATTTTTCAATAATTTTGATCAGGATAGTGATTGGCACAGGTGCCGTTCGATGAAAAGCAATGTTTTTACATGCCTCTGTGAAATATATCTTTTCGTTATCAGATGACGGTCGAATTTTGCAGCCGGCTTTTGGACTAATAGACAATTTCGTATCTCCTATCATTTTTGGGATCCCAATGCTGCTTAAAGGGCATCTAATGGAGGATACAGAGAATTGCTGGAAGGCATGGCACCGCAGCATTAAGTGGTGAGTACAATATACTAGCCTACGAAATACAACCGAAAAACTCTGAAAGAGAGCTGAGGGGCGGTACCTGAAACCTGAAAGGTGCAAGGTTCTATTACTAGCGTCTGCCGCAAGGAAGGATTAACATAAACAACGTAGTGGGAGAACCGCGTCAAGTGAGACGCGGACGCGGGCAAACATCACCTTCACCTATCGACATGCCCGACGAACGTTGGAGCGAAGGAGCGAAACAGTAATTTAATATTATTATTGGTAGGTAAAATGCCAATACCCTTAATTGGCGCCGAATTATGTATCAAGGGAAGGAGTGTATAGTCGGTTGACATACAACTATTTTCAGAATACCTACTCATTTATGTTATAGTTTGGTCAACGTGCGTTTCACACGTAACTAACTAAGTACCTATAAAAATGGAATTATCAAACTGTTGTGCAGAATGTACAAAAACGTTCAGCTGTTTCCAAAGTCTCAGAAGGCATTGTTTGAAGTCTTCTCCAACTTAGATAGCCCCATCAAAAATAAGTGGGAAAGTGTACAAGTTTATTTGTGATAGATGCAGTTCGAAGTTCAATGTTGAGAAAAATTTCACGGCCCATAAAAAAAATGTTGCAATTGACCTTCAAATAGTGCGGTGAAATCATCTGATTGCCCATTATGCAATGGAAGAATTATGAATGATCAATTCGAAAATCATTTGAAGAATTCGCATTACTTAACGTTGGGTTAAGGAAAATTTTGAAATTCCATCTTATGAACAATTCATCGAATGGAAAAGTGAGATAGAACAGAATGATAAAACTCGTTTCGTTAAGAATTCTGGAACGAAAAGATCGTCAAAATTGGAGATTCAATATTTTTATTGTCATCGCTCTGGATATTTTCACTCAAAGAGCACTGGAAAGAGGCAAGTTAAAATACAGGGCAGCAACAAAATAAATTCAAATTGTCCTGCTTCCATTAAAGTGGCTATGGATATCATTACTGGTACATGCAACATTGTTTACGTGAAAACGCATGTTGGACATAAGCGAGAAGCAACGTCTAGCTTAATTTAGCTGCTAAAATTGCCCAGAAAATTCCCTTTAGTGACATCTTGGATGAGGTGAGTGGACACGGAATAATATTTAGAAATATGAATACAGGGTGAATCGGGTATATAGGTAGGTGCTTATTGTAACACGTTCATTCGTTAGGTAGGTATGTTCGGATAGTTTTTACAAGATCTAGCAGACTATCTCTATAGATAGGTAGGTAGGTATCAAAATCAAATGAATTAACATTATATTCCATGTACAGGGTGATTCACAATAATGTCCCCCCCTCTAGCTCGGTTATTTTTGAACCGATCGCAAAATTTGAAGAATCATTTGATTAAGTTTTTTTCCGCTATATCAGAAAATACAGGGTGCTCGGAACAAACGATCGACAGGGTACAAGTTGATTTTTTTAAAAGGAACATCCTATATTTCATTGCATTTTCAGATTATCCCTGAATAGCTGATTTCATCAATGCATCACACTTGGGGTTTAGCGGGAATGATTACAGAGATATAGGGTGTTCAAAAATCGATCGATCGATATCACTGATTATGGGATTATTGGTATAACCATTACGATACCCGATACCACAAATATACTGACAATATATCAACTTACTTGCCATTATCACTAGTCTTATTATTAGTAATTAATCAAAGAAAAAATGTATTCAGATATTCAGTTTCTTTATTCATGATGTAAACTTAAATGCTTAAAGAATAATATTGTATTTTATGAATACCTATAATAGGTATAGGTATCCCAATTTTATTTTTTAATTTTATGGCCTCAATATCCAAATCCTCATATCAGTATTCAAAGTGTTAGTTTTGTGTTATTAGACTTTTAATAACATGTGTTGTCAGCCGCGCGTCGCTATAGGTGATGGGCACAGTTGATGTTTGCCCGCGTCCGCGTCTCGCTTGGCGCGGTTCTCCCACTACGTTGTTTATACGAATACCTCCTTGCGCTAGACGCGACTTGTTGCTGACATGCAAACGTCCCCCACTTTAATCAGTACCAGTAGAGACGAGTAAAATATTTTCTGGAATATCTTCGGATTTTCTACACAACGGTGAATATAGAATGATTCCGGGAACATGTAGGAGGTGTGATAAATGACAAAAGCTGTGATACTAGCGGAGCAATGTAATAAGAAGCACATGTAGACAAGAAGATATCAAAAGGTTAGTGCTGGATGAGAAGTGGAATATAGTAGCAAATACATTAGACAAACACGTTCATTATTTTTGTTAAGGTTGGTACCAACTAATTAATACACGCCTCTTATTCATTCGAGGCAGAAATTTTGGATCTCTAAGATGATGCTCAAGACTTTTTCAATTGCAAATATCAAACGGAAACTTGTAATAGTTCGATGACAATCCCGAGGAAACACATTTATTCACCTCATCCTTCGCACGTTGTCCGTTCGAACATAAATTCACGGCGAATATGACCACTGGAGCAAATGACAAGGATAATCTAATGTTGCTTTCAGGACGAACTTCCTAAAAATAAACATTGTGTGAACGAAGTCTCCAGGAAATCACCCAGATAAACAGATGACACCCCATTGACGATTTCTTCACCTCAGTTGATGACTGAGGTCACAACTCAATGACGTTTGTTTAAGTGAGTTACCCTTACTTTTAAGGTATCACGATGATACGGACCGAAGATACTTTGATACCAATATTCTTATCACTCTTCAGAAATTCAAATAGCCCATAGGATTACATGTAGCAGATACGTTTCAACATGTCGAATGTCGGCGCTTATTGCTATTATGTTGTTTTAGACGTGACAAGTGCATTTCATGCATATTTCAAACTGTCGCATATGAGATAATATTATTGATAATGTAAGACTGGCGCATTTTGATGGCATTCAGTGACGGCTCGTCAGGGACGGCTGAGTCGGCCGGGCCGTACCAGAAAATGCGAGGGAAAAAACTGAGGTATTTGATGCAATACATTATTTTTCGAACGTACATACTAATCATTTCATTGTAGCAGTCAGAGAAACGTCTACTTCAAAAGCTGATTTTTGAACAGAAATAGACGACTATTGAGCCGATTGCCACGGCGGAGAACATTTTGAGGACACTTGACAATACACAGAGGTACGGCAGGCCGACCAGGAAAGGGTGGAGTATTGTTTTTAGTCATTGTGGTGCTTTTTGAGTTTGGTGTGTCGTGTATTGAAGTGGTTGAACATGTTTATTCGGGGCATTTCGGCTACAGATTTAGCAGAAAAAATTAAAATAGTCATGGCGAGCGTAAGAGAGGTACCTCTGGTGAGATCTGGCATGCCTTTCATAATCATTTCTTCAAAAACAAGTTGGGTTGACGAACTAGAGCAACATCTACCATGACTGACCCAGATTCTGAGGGCACGAGCCGTCATCCCAGACAGCACTGGATATTCATAAAATATTCTCTAAATATGCTAAAAAGGAGGAGTATATTCCGAATATTCGTCGATTATTCCTAGAATATATATATGCCTCTGGAACATCTAAAAGGAATATTCCAAAGTGAATAGTCGGACATGTTCAGGGAATATTCAGGTATGAATCTTCCAGGAATATTCCCAACTGAATATTCTTTGTTGTATATTCATGAAATATACCCAACTGAATATTCTGTGCGGTATATTCATGAAATATACCCAACTGAATATTCTGTGCGGTATATTCATGAAATATTCTCAACTGAATATTCTGTGGTGTATATTCATGAAATATTCCATGAATATTCCTATGTTTCTCAACACATAAATACCATTCATTATTTCAGAGATGTGAGTATCGAACATCAATTAGATCTAAGGGGATTTTGAAACAAAAAGTGTTTATGATCCGATTTCGAACAATGCTCTCACAAGAACTTGATATGTATATCATTATTCAATTCGATTACTGGCCTAGTGGTCAGTTGCTCTGATAGTCTTGAGGTCACGAGTTCGATCCCTCTACTTGGGTCACTTTTTTTTATTTTAGAATATGTTTATTGGAATATTCCAGGAACATTCAACATAGAATATTCTTTTGGGTATATTCTATGATTATCTGAGGAATTCCCATTCGCATATTTAGAGAATATTCCACAGATATTCCGGAATATTCCAGATTATTGCTAGAATATTCCAATATTCCAAAAGGAATATGATAGGGAGATTCATGGAATATCTGGTGCTGTCTGGGATTGATGATTAGAACTGAAATTTTTCCTCAGTGTAGATATCATCGATACGTCACTGCAACGTCATAGAAGTAACTTCCTCATCCCTCCGAATGATGTATTATCGAAGTATCAAAGGTGTGATTATCTCGTCATAAAAACAATGTACTGACATGATCGTTCGTCATATGTTTATCTAGGCATTTTGAAATCAGTGAACTTACAAATATTATGAATGCTGCAACACAGACAAGTAGCTCAATTGCGATAAATGTTAGCGGAATTGCTGCATAGTCTGCATATACCAACATCATATTACAGAACCTACAAAATACATATTTTTTCGTCGATCTCTAGAAAAAAATTCATTTAACGTTCTAATTTTTGGAACGAACAACAGACTATGTAAGGGGGCAAGTACTTTTCGTCCGCAGACACTAATTTTTCGTCCGCAAACACTTTTCATTATCTGCAGGGTTGCTAGTTTTACTAAATTTTCAGTAGATCTCCTGATTCGCATATTGATCTATGAATCAACTGAAACATGTCATAACCTACTGAAGGATATTAAACATTTTGACACTTTTTCATTATTATAATTATCGATATTATCATTAATCTTTAGTTGATTGCATACACTTATGAATTGCATGATATTTCGGCACGCTCTGTTCAAATTAATTTTGCAAAATATGTAGTGAATTCACAAATAGGTACTAACGATATATAAACCAAAAAAGAATAATACTTTATCTGATTCAGATCAAATTCTATTTCTTTATACCTCTGTTATAACAGTTTGTTTCTTTCACGTTCAATTTTTTTATTTGTTTTGTATGGTTGTTGTCCATTTTTACTATATTTGTTCCTGTTTTTCATATAGTCGAATCTCATGAGTACCTATGTGATATTCGTATGAGTATTCTTGAATCAAGAATAAGCTATATGATTATTTTCTTCAAAGAATGTTTGTTTTGTTTGTTTTCATATTGTCAAAATAAGTTACTTTTCAGTTTACTAAAAGTACATAATGTTTTGACGTCATAGGTTTGTACCATTATCCTTTCTTGGAATTCGTATGAACCATAAAATAGATCTGAATATTTGACAAGGTTATAACTGATGAAATAAAGATCGAACTGGCAACTGCTGTTTTAATCTTCTCCTGAAGATGCTAACATAGTTAGCGAAACAGGTGTCGAGGCGTTAAAAAATCGGTTTGGTTAGTGGTAAAACAGTGTAGTGTATCATCATTAGTGGATACTTACTTTCTTGTACGTTCTTTAATCCGTACAAGTATGATGATTTGCCTGTAGATTTCTTCTTGATATCCGACCTTATCACTATTTTGCATAGACATTTTAACTAAGCTAATAACATAATGATTTAGAATATGATGCTGAAAAATAATGTGACACAGAATATAATTGGACGAGTTCAAATTTACGATGAATGAATAAACACTAGACGTGAATGATATATAGTACAGTATGGTGAATAAAGGCTTCGAACTATTCGAAATATATTCGTCTATCAAACTTAAAGCACCTTGCCATATTTTATCGTGTTCAGATAATGGACATATGGAAAATACACACACGAAAATGATAACATATGCTGAAATATGAAGAATCTTTATGTAACCACATGATTTCGCTATCCTTGCGAAAGTTTCCTCTCCACCTGATTTTAGGCACCAAGCATTTTCTTTCACTATTTTTGGAAAATTCAGTAATATGTCGTGCCCCAAAGTCGTTATCAGGTTTGAGAGAGCTCCCTGGAATATAATAAATAGTAATTATTGGAAATTAAAAAAGCTCAAATTATTAATCAAAATCAAATTATTAAAACAAAATTGCCATAGCGGAGTTCGAATAAATTATGGATGATTCATTATCAGACTATATCGATACGATGAGTTGGAACCTAGTAGAAAAAGCTCTGAAGAATGTTCCAATCCTATATACAGCGTGTCTCACTTCAAACGGATCACCCTCTATATCTCAGCTATTAGTCGTGCAATAGGGGAGTTGACTTATTTTTTTTTTTAGGATCATTACTCGAATACCTTTCAATTTCATATGTTTTCAGAACTACTCGGTCGATTTTAAGGTGTCAAAATGTTCAATAATGCTACGGCAATTTTCAAACGGCTCGAAATTTTCCGCGAGTAAAAACTGACGTCACGATTTCGTAAGTAGAGGCAGACCATAGCACAGTTGCCATATGTTGTAATACGATTGAGAAATTCAGAAATATTAGTTATTCATTGATTCATGATTTCTCTTGTATGTATATTGGTATAATATTAACCCAGGTAGCACATCATATTGGCTGGAACCCGATTTCATATTGGGCCGATATGGATATATCGTACATGTGAATAATAATATAAGTCCAATATGAGAGTATATTGGACAAACAATATTGGAATGATAATATTGGTGGAATATTGGTTCAACCTGAGCTGAATATGGATTGTCAGCTACAATATTGGAGCAATATTGGTTGTAAAATTCGTTAACAATGTGTTGAAAAACATATCTATGAATGTTATATAATATTGTTATACGAATGTCGATACAACAACATCGTATACATATTGTTCCCGACATTTACAACCAATATTGCAATTTGAACATTCTCCCCATGTCGATTCTGAAGCGGTTATGCAATATTGTATTTTCAAGTTAAACGGCATATCGGTTGGATATTGTTTCAACAATATTTGAAACATTATATTCACCCATCTTGATTGATATCATTTTATCTATATCATGCGGAAGATATCGTATACAATTTGCTTCTTACATTTATAACCAATATCGCGATTTGAATATTGTCCCCATGTTGATTCTGAAGCGGTTGTGCAATATTGTATATTTGAGTTCGACGGCATATTGGTTGAATATTGTTTCAACAATATTCGAAATATCATATTCACCTATCTTGATTAATATCAATCTATCCATATCATGCGGAAGATATCGTTTACATATTGTTTCCAACAATTATAACCAATATAGCAATTTGAACATTCTCCACATATCGATTCTGAAGGGGTTTTCAATGATTCAAATATGAATATCAATAACGGCAATTCAATATGTATCTTATATCGGACATAGAAGAGAAAAACAATATTGTATTTTCAAGTTCAATTGCATATCGGGTGAATAGTTTTCTAGCCATATTCAGAAAATAATATCATCTTATATTGGCTGATATGTGATTCACTATATCATGTAAGCAATATTGTTCACATATTGTTTTGAGAATACATATCGATATCGGAATTTCGATATTTATTCCATATTACGCACTCCTAAACCGATGTCGATAGATGGCGCTATAAATGATTGGTAACGTACTCTCATCGCCGATCCGACGAGAGAATTTAAATATTGGCTCTAGACGATTGTGAAGTATTATAACCTGGAGTAGGGGTTAACCGTGATCAACAAGGCGGCTTCCCTAGGGCAAGGCCCTCCCATTGCACTCCGGCTGGGCTGACCTTTGTGATTATTCCTGATGCGAATAACTCGAAAATATTGGTATGAAAATATTCCACCAATATTTTGAAGACAACATAGCTACATAATGATTTTCAATAATGTACCAAACCAATATTGCACAAATATAACTACACGAATATACCAGCAATATTGGTATGAGAATATTCAACCAATATTTCTGAGACAACATACCTTCATGATGATTTCCAATGATTCACCGATATTTCCATATATTACACCAATATTGCCGAATGTTCACCATCAATTTCTCGCCAATATTGATATTACATTTTGTGTCCGATATTACTCTACGAATATTCAACCAATATTAATATGAGAATATTCTACCCACATTTGGAAACTGATATTGTACCAATATCGCCGAATGTTCACATTTTTTTTCTCGCCAATATTACTTTCACAATATTTTGCCGATATTTTTGGTAATATTGCACCGATATTGTCCCAATATATGTGTGCTACTTGGGAATAATGATAAGCAATAAAATTTCAATTGCCTCAAAATGTTCCTTCATGTGCTGTGGCTTATTGCTTATAAAAAATTACATTTATTCTAGTATTCAAGATTGTAAATGATATTGCACCTGAATATTTCAAACAGTACATCAATCTGAATAATAGTTATTTCTGTATTAAGGGAATTATGAGGGCCTTAATTACCGCTTGGAATATCATAAATGTCAGCCTAGGTAGAAATAATACTTCTTTTGACAGCAGTATATCTGCTAAGGAATTTGCACAATTCTTCCAGGATGTTATAAAAAATCTAATTGAGAACTGTAAAATTGATGACAAATCCGATAATCTCAACTTTAATGATTTTCTTAATAAAATCCCTGCAAATCATAAGACATTTTATCTGCATCCAACAGATGCACATGAGGTTCGCTCTATTGTTGGAAATCTTAAGAACTCCAAGTCAAGGGATTGTTATGGTTTGAATGCCAGTCTATTAAAAATAGCTGTTGACATACTAGATCAGCCAATTGCAACTCTTATAAACACATGCATGAACACTGGTTATTTCCCAGATATATTTGAAATATCTAGAGTATCACCAATTTATAAAAAAGGAGATATAAATTTACCAGCTAATTATAGACCTATCTCTATTATACCTATAATAGGCAAGATTTTTGAAATTATCCTAAAGATACGACTCATAACTTTCTTTGAAAAAAACAATCTGATCTGAACTGGAGAGTCCACTATTGCCGCAGTTTGTGCGCTCTGTGACATCATATTAGATGGTTTTGATGATCAACTGAACAGCTTTGCTAGATTTTATGACTTGACGAGAGCATTTGACACAGTTCGCCATGATTATTTACTTTCTAAACTTGAAAGATATGGTATAAGAGGAACTCCATTAGACCTCATCTCTTCATATCTAGAAAATAGGACTCACTATGTTCAGCATGACAACCCAATATATGATGCTCATGCAGTGAAGTATGGAGTCCCTCAGGGATCCGTACTTGGACCCCTGTTTTTCATCATTTATGATCTGGCTATTAATCTTGGTCAAATTGTAAAACCAATTTTCTACGCTGATGATGCAACTTATATAGCCACTAGCAAGACCAGTCAAGAATCACTTATTAATCTAGAACAGTCTGAGTCAATATCCAAAGAATGGTTCTGCACAAACTGTCTGACTCTCAATGAAACAAAAACTCAGAATATTTTCTTTTCTACAACATACAGCAATCACAGCGAACCTGTTAAGCTCTTAGGTATACACTTAGACTCGAAGTTTGATTTCGGTTATCACACTCAAGATCTATGCAAGCGCTTAGCAAGAGCAACATTTGGAATAAGACAATTAAGGTATCAGTTAGATATCCAGCATTTAAGGATGGCCTACTTCTCCTTGTTTCATAGTATACTAACTTATGGACTGATAGTCTGGGGAAACTGTAGTCACAAAGAAAAAGTATTTGTAGTACAAAAGAAAGTAATACGGATCATGAGTTTTAGTAGCTATCTATCTCACTGTAGACCTCTTTTTAAAAAATTATCAATTCTTTCATTACCCTGTTGCTATATAATGGAGTGCCTTCTATTCATTCATAAAAAAATGTTTAACAGATGGTGTTGTACGGCACAATCATATACATTCATACTCAACTAGAAACAGTGATGATATCTGCATATCATTCTGTAGAATTAAGAAAACACAAAATTCATATAGATATATCAGTGCTAAGCTGTATAATGCTCTACCACACAGCTATAAAGGTTCAACTTATTCAGTATTTAAGAAAAAAATACGTGATATACTGATGTTACATTGTTTTTATTCAGTTGAGGAGTTTCTCCTCCACATGCCCTCCTGTAAATGCGAGTTCGATGTTGGTATTTGAACCATGGATTTATTCTCATGTGTCATGTTTTACTTTACTTTTTTTATTTTATATTATTGTAGTGCCTGTAGTTTAGATTGTATAGTGTATCTGTGACGAGTGTAAAATTCTTGTAATTTTATATAAAATAAATTATCATTATCATTATCATTATCATTATCATTATACGTTCTAAAACAATGTTTTATTATGTTAATGTTTAAGATGGAAATCATAAAGTGAATTTATAAATTTAAAAAAAAAACAGATATTTGTATTGATAGCTCACCTAACTTCAGGAAGATACGGTTTTTAAAATTTTCAAAATAGTAGAATTTTTTTTACGGCAACTTTAGAGAACTGAGAAAAAAACTTGACTTCCTACCCTCCGTATCCCCGTTACTGATCCAGATGAGTACATTTCATTGCATTTTCAACGAATTTTGTCAAAGAATAAAATATTTAAGCGAAACATATGCAACGTATATGCTTATTTATCTCAAATCGGTTCGATTCTCGAATAAAATTGAAGAGCAAAAAAAGCCTCTAAATTGAACGATCTACACGATTTGATCACTGAAAGATGCCAGAGGCGTACTACGAAAAAATTTGGAGGGGATAAAGAAGCCTCTACCTCCAAAAACGTATCACCCTGTAGATTTTGAAAATCTTAAAAATGCTTGAAATGATGATCTTCTAGGAAGTATTGACCACACCAAATTTTTGAATGATATCTTGAAAAGTAAGCGAGATATTTCAATTAATAGACCCCTTGTAGCTCCGCTACTGAACGAGATCGGACTAATGTTTATATGAACTTTTTTGATTAAAATGATGAGATCTATCTCCCATTTCAGTTTGTGCCTCAAAACCTGAATCACCCTGTATATTGGAATACTATTCATATTTTTATTTTATAGAAACAAGGAGAGAAAATCCCAAAGAATCTGGAATAATAAGTTTCATTATTTCTAAAAATTAAACAGAAACATTGCACATACTATATCAACTGCACAATCTGAAATAGCGATGCTTCGGGATTGAAAATTTGTGAGCCTAGAGAAATTGAATGTTCAAAAATATTTTCTGGAGATACGCTGAGAAAATGGTCACAAGGGTTCACATCATCTTTATTCTACATCAGCCCATCAGTATCCTTTTCCTTATCAAATCGCAATTATTCGAAGTTTTTCCCTATGTCTGTATATACCTACTTCGATTCCAGTTTATTTTCGAACACTTCTCACAGGAGCCAATTCAAAAAGTCAGGTCTTCACCCTGTGTCTTCACTATCTATCCGAATCTGAATATGATAGCTCGGACACTGAACCTGAAGAAATTTCAAATCGATCCAAAATCTCATGATACGAGAAATCTTGAACCGATGGGTGGCTCACTTGCCTAAATTTTGTACACCATATTACCAAATCAGGTAATATCAGTAATATTTAGGGGATATTACCATAATACCAATAATACTCAAGATATTACTAGATATTACTGATTATGCGAAATATTACCAAATTTCATCAAATAATACGAAATATTACCAAATATTACCAAATATTACGAAATATTACGAAATATTACGAAATATTACCAAATTTTACCAAATATTATTATTATTTTTTTTCAAATGGAACCCCTATGGGCCACCTACCCGTCTCTCTAGAACGTACATTAAGGAACAAAATGACATATCATTTTTGTTTTTCGGTGCAGCATAGATCTAATCACACGACAAATTGTATACATTCAAAAATCTAGTTCATGAATTTCCTTGCAGTTAGAATAATTTTTCAACTAGGTAGGCTGTGGAATAAATGACATTTGACATCAAGATTGCACCTGTTTTGACCTGTTGAACTTGAATATAAAAAATATACAGGGTGTTCCATTTGAAAAAACAAAATTGCTGGCATTTCCAGAAAAACCGGAAGTCCGCCATATTGGATTGTAATGTGATCAAATCCGAAATAGTTGCTTATATAACTGTACCGAATTTTAGAAAAATCCGTTGACGAATGCATAAGTTACAGGGGTGGCCCGATAACCTGTGTCACCCGGTATCAACATCATAGTAATTACTTCATTATTTTCAAATCTAAAATTTTCCGGAAACGGTACACGGTATTGAGTTTCACCCAAAGTGCCTTTTTGGTATAAAATTTAATGATGTTCATGTTCACATGATATTTGGACTAAAAAATTCTTTTCTCAAAAGAGTCATGTTGAAACTATACTTCTGGGCGTCAATAATTTGGCATCAAGTTTGACTTCTCGTAATTTCTAAAATATTGAACGAATTTTGAATTGCCGCCCAGATTCTGAATGCCTTTTTCATCGTCTTCCGAACCATTTCTTACAGCTTCTTCTTAATTGATCAGGACCCGTGATACAGGGCGAAACAAAGTTTCGTGCATTTTGAAGAAAATTTCTCCGCCCCCCCAATTTGTTTGGAATTGTTTTTAAATGGACTGATTACCTGTGTCCTCAAAACGATGAATCAGTCTATTTATTGTCATGACTGATTTATTGAAAATTTAACTTAAATGAGTTTGGGTATATCCAAATCGTCGTAGCCTGAAATAATAATTATCTGTACTGAATTAT